ATTTATTGCTGGGCTTTAAACTTCTTAAACAATCCCATATGGAGACCTGAGTGGCAGAACGCTTAATGTAAACTTTCAAAGGAAACTGCCCACCAAATTCTGAACTTTATGAAAACTGGCTGAAACACATTCTTTCCCAGAAGCCTGGGCAGCCATTCCCATTTCCAAGAGGAAAGGCCAGAGCTCTGCTTTAGAGAGACCAGGAAGGAACAGGAGACCCCGTTTCAGGCCCTTACTGGTTCTGGAGGAATCTCTAACTTTCCCACCCAGAGCCATTTATAGAAGCGCTGGGTTCAGAGGGTAAAATTCAGAATTAGCAGTGAAACCGAACTTTCTGGTGGCGATTCTGTTACTGATCCTCTCCTGTGGGGATCTCAAGGCAAGCGCCCAGCACTGGGCTGCACAGATGTGCTGGGTTGTGCTGGGTTTGTTTCCTTGGACTCGATAGGGCACATCTGGAATGAACAAAAAGGCTTCTGTACCATAAGATGCCTCGAGAATACGAGAGCATTTACAGGAAGACTAATACAGAGGTGGATAGAGGTAAATACAGAATTACAGATGTAATTTAAAATACATAAAGGATATTAAATAGATGAAATTACAAATATAGTTTTAAAAGCAGGTTAAAAAAAAATAACAGTCATTCTAGATACGTAAAACTAATTTCTGGTAGCTATAAAAAAAAAATCTCTTCAAACAGAGACCACCATGATTTCCTACAAATTTGGCATTACGTGATGTCTTAGACTGCGGCGTTCTGGTTAGTCTCTGCTTCAAGGTTTGACCTCAAAGATCAGGTCTTAATTGAAGTCTCCTTTCTCATGACTTCTCAGAGGTCTCTCTCAAGACAACTAGCGGCACTTTCCCTCCAGGGCTAATATTCTGCAGGTGAGGTTTGGGCCAGTCCATTAAAGCAAGCGACCTGCGGTGAGGAGGGGCCCTGCCTCTCTGTGTGTGTATGTGGGGTGTGTGTTGTGCTTGAGGAGGCAAAAGGAGAATCGATCTGCAGTAGGATTTCTCTCCCCTTTTAGCTAATTTGTGTCAAGCTGCTCGGCACAGCTCTCGACAGGAAGTGCCATTTCCTGTGCTGAAGATTTAATACCACAGGGCGAAGCCGCGTTTGAACCCATGGCCGTGCTAATGATGCTCCATGAAACAGCAAAAAGATAAATGATCCTTAATCAGGACAATGTTTAAATAAGCAAGTGCCTGCATATACCACAGCAAAACATCCTAATTCACTTAAACAAAGCTAAGAGGGCAATTTTAAAAATACACAGACTGTTTGTTGAATACTTAGGTTTTTCTAAATGGCTTACAGTCACTTTTTGTTTTTTAAAAATTATTTATCAGGTCTGTGCTGTAGCTCAGTGTTCTGACTGACGTTTAAAAGCGACTGACTCCAACTTGGAGGGGCTGAATGATTTGCTTCAGGTCCCACAGCGGGCCACTGACCAAACTTGACAGGGCATCTCACAGTTTCCACATTTCCCATTTATTGCTCACCTGCTGCTTAGACTTCAGAGCCTCCGGCTGACTTTGCTTGGACACACAAAATGTACGAGAACAGAGCTGAAGACAAGGTGGCGCACACGAGTGCCTGGGGCTTCTGGAGTCAAGGAATGTGGGATCATGGCCAGTGAGTGGACTGTCAGACATTTTGAAGTAAATCTTGAAATACAGGTAAGGGGCATTTGTAGATCTTCCACAGCCGCCGACTTGTTTTCACATACACTGTCTTCTGGAGTGATCCCCCAGTAGGCAACAGCTCCCACGATCACTGTTTTACAGGTCGGGGAGACGGGCCCGCAGCAGTGACTTGCCTTAGTCCCACAGAAGGGCGGCAGAAGCAGGCCACGAGCCAGGCTCCTCCTGAGCTCTGGTTTGGGTTCCTTTCATGACTTTACCATCTGACCTTAATTTCTCACAAGAAATGCTCCTGTTCTTGGTTTAAATGAAACGATGTCCTTAGAAGACAACGGGGAGTAAAATTGCTGATGCCTGACTTGTCAAGGTTCAGAAAAGTCTGCTACGAAATACCTCCTTTTAACCTCCTTTCCTAAAAGACAATTTATCTAATAACTTGTATTGTTTGTACTTTAGAAAGTTGGCTACTGAAGGAACCAAAGCAGACCACAGAATTTAAGTATCCCGTCCAGACTGCTAGGAATAACCAGAAAAGGAGAGGTTGGGATTGCGTTAGAAAAGCAGAGCTGACTGACTTGGTATCCGAGGGGATAGGGAAAGAAGCCCTTTCCCAGGTTAAAACAGCACTCTGTGGTTTACAGAAGATGAAATAACCACAGAGCTACGCACATTGAGTATATGCAGGGGAAAGTACTTCCTATGCCTTCAGTCTCTAGGTCTAGAAGCCGGGGCTTTGGTTTCCTTATTGGCTTTGCAATTAATTTATACTATGACCATGAAAACAGTATTTTTGCCCTGCTTTATTATGAGCAAATACACAACCTTCTAGAAGAGAACCAGTGAGGGAGGGAACCTTCTAGAAGAGAACCAGTGAGGAACTTCTTGGTACTGTAGTTAGAAGTTCAAAATTTTCTCTCCTAAGTTCTATTCCATCTATTAGTCACCATTTGTAAAGGAAAAATTATTGACCTGGGTAATGGGTATTTCAGTTATCCACAAAATGTCACAAAGAAACTCAAGAAAATGTGCTTCATTTCCAAGGGAGGATGGAGTAGAGGTTAAAAAGAGATGGTTTAGAGTCACTCACATTATTGATCATAAGGTGCATTATCGTCTTTGGAATCAGATCTCGGATGCATTTGTTGATGATGGACATGTAGGAGTCAACAAGGTTGCGAATGGTCTCCACTTGCCTCTCCAGTTGTGGGTCCATGGAAAAGTTCTCTGCTTGGCCATTCTCATCATTTTCAGTCTTACAGAAAGGAAACAAAACATGGATTACCTCACCTTGGCTCAGAAGAATAAAAACACCAAACATTATCAAATGATCAACTTCTTCTGCTTAGTATGTTGGGAATTCATACCATCACATAGTAACAACTTTTTCTCACCATCCATCAAGTAATTCTGAAAAAGAGATCGGTTTTTGTTTTGTTTTTTTTTTTTAGTCTGCCATAGTTAGTAAAAGCAAGTATTGTAATTCTGAATGAATGTTGAGATGAATCACTAAAATGAATAGTCGCCTAACAACAGACCTCTAGCAATCAGTCTCATCTTAAAGCCATCTGCAAGCAGGCCAAAGAATGGACTCCCAACACAGCATGCGATGTCGGCCTCGGAGAGGAGTCTCCAGGGACACTATAGATTAGAAAGAACCTTGATGCTATTCTGGCACTTCTAGATCTGCTCTGGATTGGATCAGCATTTGGATCAACCCAGATTCAAAACTCTACCTCCTAGGACTGGCCTAGAGCCAAAATAAGAGATGTAAAAGGTGATTCATTCTCCCACGCACTTGCTGGACTTTGTTATGTGAATCCACACTCTGTCATCACTGCTGAGGGCTGGCTCCATGGGGGAAAACGTACCATTTTCACTTCCAACTTGCTATTCTTTGAATAAAACAGAACACATCTATCCACAAAGAATTTATTTGTGCAACATGAGAGAAGCATCTGTTTTCTATACTATAGGACTTGAGCTAATTAATTTTGGCTTATCCACCAGAGCCGGGGTGGAATGGCATCTTTGTCATTAAGGGCTGACCTATGGGCTTGGCATTGAAATCAATTTAGAACAAACGGTCTCCATTTCAAGTCAGGTTGAACCATCTAAGCCCCAAAACATGACAGATATTGTGAGTGGTCTGGCTACTTTCTAGTATTTGGAAAGATTTAATTATGAATGTAAAAGGGGAAAATAATTTATTGCTTCCAGTGTGGACATGAAGTACTTTTTTTTTTTTTTCCTGGAAATGTACACACTTTGATCTGCCAGGTTTTCCATCATCTGATCAGTTCTAGCAAAGCCCTGTGCTAAATGGTTTAACTGGAACTATAAACAACAAGCCTTTCTTTTGAATCAATATACATGTGTGAAAGACACACAGTCCACAAGATCAAAAACAACACAGAAATTTATAATCATTTACAAGGCTCCTCTCACTCAGAAATATCTAATGCTTTAAAAACATTTAATATATGCTAACTCTAAAAAACAATTGCCATTTTCCAGGCCTAAGAGTCTGACCGAAGGCTTTGGGGACAGCATTTCTGAGGCACTGGCCTGTGGCAACAGCAGGCGGAGGACTGGAAGATTCAACAGGACAGTGATTCACCTGTTTCATTTCTTTAAAAATGGGCTTGGGTCACTGAAGGAAAGAGTTAAATCAGGTCTTTTGTCACTGTTACTTTGTGATTCAGACTCAGCAGGATCTGAGATAGGTGAGCAGAAACTAAGGCCGCAAAATGATAAAATTGTAGTGGAAATGTCAACCACGTAGTGAAAAAAAACCACTGTGTTCCCAAATTTCTTCTAAGACAAAAACGTCACTCTAAGTCTGCAAATGGTCTCTGCACTACACCAAGACTCTTAAGAATCAACAGTAAATTACAGCATCATTTAAGGACATTGTACTTGAAAGGGAAGTTTCAGGTTCAGATCCAGGCTCTGTCACACTGGGTGTGTGGTCCCACTAAGTCTCCCATTGTGACTGACCCAGCTTCCATATCTTTAAAGTGAGGACAAACTTACCTGAAAGCTTATGGCAGCTGAATGGGTACAAAATGACCTGGCAGGGGGCCTCAGAGGCCTTTCCTTTCTGAATATTCATGTGCCGAGAGCGGCTTGACTCTCAACACACATTATGAACTTTTAAGATGATAAAACATGTCTAATTAAAATCTTATTTCAAACGACATCTCTTTGATACCTCCATGTTTTCTGAAAACAACCCCCCTTCCTGGGGCCCTGTCTTCCCTCCACTCTGCCCACTGTGAAGACCTGTCATCTTTCCAATGTGCTCCACCACACCTCCCCCTGACCCCCCCCACCCCTCTTCTGCACTTCATCCTCCCACTGGCCTTTATTCTTTAATGTCCAGCTTAGTCATTGAATAATAATATGCTAATCCCCCTCCTAGACGTTAAGAGCTCATTTATCTCCCCTTCCCAGCACCTAGCATAGAACCTGGTATCCAGGGGGAGGAGGAGAAGGGGCAGAGTTAATGCTACAAACAGGTTTACCAAAGTCAACTGCAGCTCAGGGTGTCCAGGAGTGCCGACTTTGTGAGAAGAACAGAGACCAGAGAAACCTCAAGTTGATGGGCTTCAAAATAATTAGGATGATAAAATGACTAAGAAAACTCTGTCTATACATGAGAATAGATGACCTACAGCTTTGTGAAGAAAATATGTTCTATATAAAGCAATCTAAACTTCTAGAATGACCATTATACAATTTAATTTATTCTTCTGGCCTGAAACATTCTTGGACTTTGTTATTATGTTCAGCAGTAGGGGGTGGTGGATCAATCTCTCTCTCCAGGAACACTTATTGAGTACCTACTGTGTTCCTGCACCATGCTAAACACTTCATATAGAAGCTGCCCCGGATCTGAGGAGGTGGGCACTATGGTTCCTGTCAATCTATAGAAGAACACATTGAGGCTCAGAGGCTGAAACCGTTCAACAAATTTAAAATGAATATGATTTTAAGCCAATTCCTTTTTTTTTCTTTAAGTGTAAAAAACAGGAAGTTTGAAATAATGAGCTATCCGTACATGGTAAAGATAAAATAATAAATGTAAAAAAAGTTTCTTGGAGAAGTTGCCCCTGAAGTATTGATATTTTCAAGAAGTAAATGCCTGAGCTAAAAGAGAAAAGCAGAATAAATAAAAAATAATAAATAGATCTCTAGGAACATGAAGCACCAGGAAAATTGAATCACCATTCACATTTTCAGTGGAAATTTCCCCATTTTACATGACCTTCAACATTTAACCTTGCTTTATTGGCATTTTTTGCTTTTTGAAGCCAGAAGCAATTGATAAGCCGTGTCAGAGTGAATAAAGAACACTGGTTTGATTCTCAACATAAAGAATAAAATGTTTCCAAAATAACCAGCAAAACAATTTGAAACTGTCCTTTGCTTTGGGAAATATTAGCAGACATATGGTCACATGCGAATCTTAACTTTTCTGATAATACACTGGACACGATGGGGAGTCACCAAATTCAGAATGCAAATTTGATTTCTGATTTCAGAAAGAAAAAAAAACAATAATTGCCCCTTCTAATATGTCTAAGATGAATGGAGAAAATGTATACAGAAGAAATTTTTCTTTTAACTGAGTAATTGCAGAGAGCTAATGTTCCCTTTTCTCTAACCCCCAGCCCTAACCAGATTCTCCATCGTGCTCTTTTCTGAATGTATCCTGTGTATGACTATGTATTTTTTCTTTGTTTAAATTATAGGATTGCAATAGGATTCTTTGCAGTCAAAGCACTGAAGTGACAGCTGTTTATCATTATCCTCATCAAGGGAATGTAAAATAAAAATAGTAATTTGTCTCTGATCTTTGAGGCAAAAAAGAATGGTCTGCAAACATTTAACCTTTTATGTGCAGGTTCATTGATGCTGTTTACAAAATGTGAATAATGTTGTAGAAACCAGATTTCTTCTGAAAAATACAATGGACAGGCCTTGCGATTTTTTTTTTTCTAAATAGCTTTTGAGAAACCTAATTCAATTTCAGCAATAAAAGCAACATTGTAAATGTGAAATTGTTTATAAGAATTGCTGTGGCTTTCTTATGAAATTATTTGCACACTATTTAAGACTGCACTACTTTAACAGGTGAGGGAATAAAAGTGTCAAAGGGGAAGCAACATTCAAGCTCAGGGCTTGACTGAAATGCCTGTTTTTTCACATTTTTGGTTTTTGCCTTTTCCCTTTCCTGAGCCAGAAAAAAATCTCTTATTTAATTATGTCATGAGCTTATTGGAGGACCATGGGAACCATTTTAAATAAGACTGGTGACTTCAACTCTTTAAAGGTGGGATAATGGAAAGTGAGCCATCCTGGTGGTGATGGGCGCATAAATGGTACAGACCAGTGGGCGTTTGCTGCCTCTGCTGCCACCAATGGTGGGCATTGGGCAACAACCTACAGGTCCACTCAAGAGATTTTTCCAGATAACTAACTCTTCTGTAGCCATCCATTATCATTATACAAAATTCTAAAACAGAGTGTAGCAATAGAGCGTTTGGCTTTTTCTCAGTGGATCCACTCACCATTGTGAAAACACTGTGGCCATGGAAACGCACTCAGGTTTCCCAGCTCCATATTATGGAGGATGTTTTCCCTGAAAACCTTTCCCTGCTCCCAATCATTCGTTTCTAATTTGCTGAGGCCGGAGAGGTACACGGCCAAACCTGTAAGAACCGCGTGAGGACCTGGCCAGGACGCCTCTGCGGGTGGTCCAGGCTGCACTCTGGCATCCTGTGCCCGGTATTTCCCTGATCAATTCGACAAATATTTATGTAGGGTCTGACGCCGACGGTGAACGCCACAAAGGAAGTCCAGAAACATGGGCCTTGCTCTGAGCGTCTGCAGCAGGGAGGACGCAGGGACAGATGAGTCGGTGAGTTTCAGACGCGCTAAGGGAGCTCTGGGCACTGCGGGCACTGTGGGCACTCCAGGGATGGGGACACTTGAACAGGACCCTGGAAGTAGGGTGGAGTTCAGAAGAAAGACTGGGAACCCTTCGTGAGTTTCCTCTAGTACTAGCCACCTGTGGTGGGGCTTAATAAATACTGCGGAATGGAAGACGGACAAAAGCAGCCCAGGCCATTTCCCCAGGGTTGGGCTGTGTTTCGGAGGGGAGCCCAGATTGAGCCCGGGAAAGCTGGGGTCCTGCCGTAAGGAAATGTGGGTGATCAGATGCATTTCAAGAACCGAGCGCTCCATTTAGAGCCGCTCTTTGTTGTTGTTGCCTTTTATTTTGGCCTGGGCATAATAATTACTGCATTCAGCACCACAATTGAATTGATAAAAAGATCTTCATGACTGTGACTGAGCATGTCCATAGAATTGAGCTGTGATTGCAGTCAAAGGTTTGGATGGCCAAGGGGACATGCATGTGCAAGAAGCATCTGCAATACAGGAAAAGCCCTGATCTGATCCCGGCCACCCAGGGCTGACCCTGGATCTCAGGCAGGACTGAACCTTGTCTGCCTGCGTTGTTTTCATTTCTGTTCTTTGTTGTTCCTCCCCCTTCACCTGTTTTTGCCCTTTTATTCATTCTTTTCGCC